TCAAATGATATTTTGATGGCTGCTGATGGGGGTAGATGTTCTGTGCTGGTTCTATTAGATCTCAGTGCAGCGTTTGATACTGTGGATCACTGCACTCTGATTGATAGACTGAAAACAACTGTGGGCATTACTGGATCAGCTCTGGATTGGTTTTCCTCCTATCTTTCAGACAGGAGTTTCTCTGTGTCCATAGGACCATATATGTCAGACTCTGCTCCTTTGTCCTGTGGTGTGCCCCAAGGTTCTGTGCTCGGCCCTCTGCTGTTCAGTCTGTATATGCTTCCTCTCGGAAAGATTATTGCTAGTTTTGGAGAAATATCTTATCATTGTTATGCTGATGATATTCAATTATATTTATCTTTTAGCCCTGATAGGCTGGATAAACTGTCCTTGTTGCACAATTGCTTAGCCTCCATTAATAACTGGATGGCAGACAACTTTTTGCAACTAAATTCAGACAAAACTGAGGTGCTGATTTTTGCTCCAGATAACATTACTCCAAAGATTAGGCAGGCCATTGGGGCTCTACCATCCTCGGACGGTAATGTGGTGCGAAATTTGGGTGTCATTTTTGATAAATCTATGAGTTGATAAATCTCATAGATTTCAGTCATGTTAAATCTGTGGTTCGTTCCTGTTTTTTTCCATCTCAGGAACATCGCTAAGATTAGATCGGTGGTTTCTAAAGAAGAGCTGGAGATGCTTGTTCATGCTTTTATTTCCTCTCGTCTGGATTATTGCAATGTACTGTACACTTGCTTAAACAAATCCTCCATGGACAAACTGCAAGTTGTACAGAATGCTGCTGCAAGACTTTTGTCAAAGACCAACAGGAGATCACATATTACACTAGTGCTGCCACTAACGACTAATTTTCTAACGACTAATCTTTCGACTAATTTTTCGATTAGTCGACTAATCTAAACGACTAATTAAAAAAAAATCAAGTGTTTATTTCGTTGTGTCCATTTTATTTTGAACTCAACTGAAGGACCAAAACATAAAATGTCACCTGTTCAAAAACATTATGTATTAACAATCTAAGCATTAAGTATCTGCATTTCCATTAGGCTATACCATATTGGTCAGAGTCCTAATCTAATCCTCTAATAACAAACATGTATGTATTACTTAAATTAGCTCTTTGTTCTGCCTTAAAAAATGTACAGCAAGCTAATAATGATTAATTTATGTACATTTCTGAAAAGCATAACTGATAACATCACTCTGAATAGTAAAGTAGATGCAATGCATTTTCTGTGAAAAGCGCTATACAAATAAATTGGAATTGAATTGAAAGAGTCTGTCTAGCCCACTATGAGTCGCGCTGAAAGCAGGCAGGCACGCAGTTATGTAGCTCGCGTTTACACCTGCGTGCATGGCGGGCCCGTGCCGCGGTTCGCGTGAATGTGAAAGCAACACGGACTCGGGAGCGCTTGTTCAGGAAGTTAAGTAACCTGCCCATGCGTTTTAGCTGATTATGATGCATTTAGTTAAATAAAACACATGTAAGGGATGATAGTGTTGATGATTTACCTTGGATACGCGAGAGTTGAGTCTGCAGTGTATTCGCGCATTGCGCGTGCAATCAGGGCAACACATTTGGAAATCCACTGTCTCCTCAAAAGAGTCCGTTTAAAAAACACAATATATTGACCCGCGTTCTGTTTTCTATCATGCGCCGTGCACGTTTGCGATGGCATAAGATGCACGCAAACTCAACAGGGTTCGATAGAATTGAGTGTGAAACCAGACCAACGCTGCGGGGGGCGCCGGGAACAATCGCGCTCGCGCTCGGACCGCAGCAAACGAGCCCACTGTGAAAGCTCCGTCACCTGCCTCCGCAATTTTTCATATCAAAGCAGTGAAGGCGGGCGGGAACGTGAAGGAAAATGATAGCAGATAAACCAGCAGGGCGCGCACGGCGCACAGACTGGTGTGTGGAGGTGAATTACAGTGAGCCGTTTGTGACGGGAGACCAAAAATAAATAGCGGTCAATAGTAAAACGACACGTCGACTAAAAAAATTGCCGTCGACTAATTTGCATGGTCGATTACGTCGACTAAGTCGACTAATCGCGGCAGCACTATATTACACCTGTGCTTAAGGCTCTTCATTGGCTTCCAATTAGTTTTAGAGTGCAGTTTAAAATTTTAACCATTACTTACAGAGCCTTCCATGGTCAATCTCCCTCTTACATCAAGGATCTATTGCACACACACACTCTAGGTCGCACTTGAGGTCTTTAGGCCAAGACCTTTTTACTGTTCCTAGAACACGTCTTAAAACAAGAGGTGATCGTGCTTTCTGTGTGGTGGCTCCAAGGCTCTGGAACTCTCTTCCATTAGCCTTGAGAGCCTTGGACTCTGTAGAAACTTTTAGTAAACACCTTAAGACACATCTTTTTAGACAAGCGTTTAACTAGCCATATGGTTTTGTTGTTATGTGTGTTGTGGTTATTATTTGTTTAATTATTTTTATTTTTACTGTGAAGCACTTTGTGACCCTTCTTGTCTGTGAAAAGTGCTATTTAAATAAAGTTTTACTTTTTTTACTTACGCAATTCATATTTAAACAGTCTTTTTGAGGTTTACAGAAACTATTCAATAACGCGATTAGAACAAAGCACTTAAGAATAAATAACTTACTTCATCAGCTGAATCCGTGCTCCTACCAGCAATTCTGAGGTAACTTTTCCAGGATTATTACGATGGTATTATTCCTCACAGCGCAGCAAGACGAGGTAAAGTACAAGACTCTTATTAAACTGAATGTTTTATCCAGCTGATGTGGGCGTTGGCAAGGCTTGCCTCAACATTTGCGTTTGAATAGCGCGCGCTCTCCGTGGGCGTGTCAGATTAACACATAATAGACTTGTAGTCAAGACCGCCTAAACCGAGACCAAGACACTACCAAGACCAGAGGGTATCGAGACCAAGACAAGACCAAGACCAAGACCAAGACAGACCAAGTCGAGACCAAGACAGACCAAGTCGAGACCAAGACCGAGACCAAGGGAAAAAAACAGACTAGTGTTGAAGCTAAGTAATAACTTATAAGATTTTGTTTTGCATTGCCTGCCTTTCTCTGCTGATTTCGAAGTCTCCAAATGAATCCATTTTGCAACTTTTAAATACATAATTATATTTTTAAAAACGAAATTATAGGCTTAAGTGCAGGATCCGAAAGTTGGTCGTTTTGTCGCTATGGTTACACACACACACACACACACACACACACACACACACACACACACACACACACACACACACACTGTTGGCGGTGCGCTCAATGTCATCTGTCAGTTGTGCTGTGCAGTTACCCAAAATCTCCTGAATGAAGTTAAAACCCATCATGTCACTGATATGTGTTTTACTAAATATTAATACATCAAAAACTGTACATGATTGGCCAATGTGTTTTTTTTTAATCAAGTGATCAAAGTGCTCGTTGCCGCTGCGATCAGTGGTGCGGATACAGTGTTTTCTCGTGTGGCTCGCGCACACCGCACTTGTCTTCACTCCGTTGCGGATATCGCCGTGGATATTGTAGTATTGTATTGCTAAATCCTCCGACCACTGTCTCGGTCTGAGACAGCGAGACCTAGACAAGACCGAGAGGTCCGTGACCAAGACAAGACCAAGACCAAGACCAAGACCAAAGACCGTCAAGGGCGTGACAAGACGTGGTCTCGAGACCGGTCTCGAGACCAAGACTGGTCTCGAGACATACATCACTAACACATAATAAGCTATAATGAGCTGAAAGGAAAAAGACTGACATCTCTCTCTGTTCATACAGATTACATAAACTGAGAATATTTGTTTTTTTATATAAATTACTTCATTTAAAAGAAGAGAATTTCAGCTTCATAAAGAGAAATCTCTCGTGTCTCTGTGACAAGTATTTACTGAGTTACAGTTCATTTTCGGACGCGTTTCAGAATGGACTTCACTGACAGAGAGAAGGCAGAACGCGCATCATGTTTATTTTTCTTTATTTGACAAAAAGCACAACACTTTGTTTTTATTGTGAGTACACAAAAAAATAGACACTTAACAAGATCTAATGATGTATAACACTTATATGTAAGATCAAAATCAGCAGAGTATTTTGAGTCTCTTTTGCACTTATAAGAAAAAAGTGAGCTGGTATCGCCGGCGATACCGCCGACCCCAGAGGGTTAATATTTCTGAAATAATCTGCTAATATTTCTGTGGCACATTTCTGTGGCTTCATAGAGATATGGCATCATATTTTTTCTTCGCCGTAACGCTTAATGGCACTATCCAACTGCCGTGTTATATCTTACATGTTATTTTTTCGAACCCATGCCTATAGATAATTATTTTTCTGCTTTCAATATTAAATCGAAAAATGAATGAGAACAGACCATCTCATAACATTATTTATGCAGTTGTAATTTTGCAGTGTAAATGCATTAACGCCAGCTCTGAGCTTCATTTAACAGTCTCAGTAAATAAATCAATCTGAATGCCATTTGATGCAGCGGTCTTATTCTAATTGAATTTAGTGATACAATTCTCAAAAGAGTTTGTCAAAGGTCAAAAGAGTTTGACATGAAAGATGTCACATATTTAATAATGTTTGGAAAAATTAAAGGCCTTTTAGACCTCTAAAAATACAAATATGCCTTTTTAAGGACCATTTAGCCTTTCCATTCGTGTCAAAGTTTTTTGCATGTTCACATAGCAAGTGCGACAGAAGTCACCAAGTTTTGTACTTCTGATGAAGTCAAATAGATAAATAAATAAAATTAATATTTTTAAAAATGTAATTTTGTTTGGTCACTAGCAACCAAAGACTACCAGAGAGTTAAATACATGTGCCCTCTGTGCATTGTTTTCTTAAAGCCAGCGGGTTGCATAGGCGCCATAGTTCTTGTGCCCGTCCCCGCTGCTTGCAGTGTATTTTAAATATTGCGGTTTTGTGTTGTTGGGCTTTAGTTACTTTTATTTACCATGTTTTCTCTTAACAGGCTCACTACATTAAGGCCACAGCGTTCAGGGGCGCCGGCCGCAGTGAAGAGGCTTTACAGGAGTATTTCTTCTGTGTGGCTTTGAAATCTGACTGGATCGCTGTAAAACTGGAGGCTCAGAAGGTACATTTAATCTTTGTGTATTTGCATTGTTACGACCGCTAGGGGTCAGCCGCAACAGGAAAAAGGAAAAGAGAGTCACACTACCAGAGAGATGACAAATAACAGGAGCTTTATTTGCAATAAAGGGTTAGCATCATGGGCAGACAAGGCCAAAATAACAAACAAAACAATCTTCTTTTAGAACCTAAATGACCTCAAACGAAAGATAAAGAAAACAAAAATACAGTTTAACTTACCTAACTCCCTTAACCATAAACAAGGTTAAAAAGAGGTACAAATAAATTGGCGTCAAACCCCCTACATCCCTTAATCTGGCAAAATGTATTTACAAGAATATTTACACACTTATTTACAAAGTCTCGTGGTGACAAATCAGAATCGGAATCCAAGGCGTAGTCAATCAGGCAACTGTCAGATAAAAGAGGATATCAGAAGTAAGACTACAATCAACAAACACACACTCACAGTTTCACTAAACACTAACAATCTCTCTGGCACGACACTCTTACTCAATTAAATGAGGACGAAATGAACAAGGGTGAAGAGGAACACAATCAATTCGAACGACAGCAAAGCACAATGGCATTAAGCACAAAGTCAACGAGGCTCAAAGGGCTCCATTGAGTGTTAGGGGTGGCCCTTATATCCGGTCAGGTGCTTAGCAAGACCAATCAGAGTCTTCCACAGGTTAACAGAGGCAACGCCTATGAAACACAAACCTGTCTACACAGAGAGAGAGAGCGTATACACACAAGGACAGTTGATATAAACACAAAATATCTCAGGGTCTTAACAGCATATGTCAGCCTTTGTCTGGCAGATCTCCTCACATGATGGTTTCTCCTCTGATTTGGATGGTAATTTTAAAGCATACTCCTAGGGTTGAACGATTTAAAAAAAAAAAAAATCAAATTGTGATTTTTTATTTATTTAATTTTTTTTCTTTAATTTTTTTTCTTTTTCTTATCAAAATTGAGTTAAAAGGCAATTTGTTTTTAAAAAGAGCTACAGGTTTGTTGTGGTGGTTTGCACAGCATCAAAGAAAGACCAATTACAAACTTATCCTCGAGCACTAAAATAAACAAATGAAACCGCACAGTTAATAGCAAACTGTCTATGTTAATAATCGCAGCCATTTGAAAATCGCAATTTCGGTCTAGAAACGATTAATCATGCAGTCCTACTTAAGCGCTTAGTTTCTTTAATTTAAGAAGTGATCAGTGTTAGGTGACTGCAATGTGATGTTTTGCATGTCCATGCCAACATTATTGTTGTACAACTGTATCTGTGTATCTACAGATCCTGAGTCATATGTTCTCTTCAGTCTTTGTGAATGAGGGTCTGGCTATGTTCCTACAACCCCTTCCAGCTGGCCCATCCCCTCGTATCAAACCCTCATCCCTCCACAGTTCGCTTCACTCCTCTCTTCATAGAGATGGAGCCAAAGCAGGCTGCTCCAAGGTTACTGCATATGTGTTCACAGATGCAATTGATTTCAACAATTTGCTACAATGAAGATATCACACTGATAACCCCCGGTTTCACAGACAAGGCTTAAGCTAGTCCTAGACTAAAATGCATGTTTGAGCTGTTTTAACTTAAAGCAACTTGCACTAACAAATCTTAAAATCTTTTTTGTCTCAATACCCTAATTGAACTAAGGCCTAATCCTGGCTTAGTTTAAGCCCTGTCTGTGAAACCGGGCCTGAATGTTAATAAAACCAATTTTGCTTTTCAAGCCATTTTTAGAATCATAGTAGAGGACCACTGCATCATCAATGCTAAAACCATTCTTTTTTTCCCCTTAGGAACAAACACTCAGTTGCAGTAATTTCAAAGATGGGAAATCTTATATTTTACAAAGATCTGAAAATGTAAACTCTGTTGGCCTCTCTTCACTTTTTGTTCCACCCGTCCTAAAAAGGAAATGGACAGAAGATGCTAAGGACTTTGAGCCACCCAGCAAACAGCTCAAAGAAGGTATGGGGTTTAAATCCTTGAATTATTCAACTGGGGAAAAAAATTTACTTTGAACAAATATTGTGAAGTAAAGAATTTTGTACTTGGCGCTAAGATCTCTGTGGCTGGTTTTACAAACCTTGTTTTTAACCTATTTTTCTCCATTTACTTCATTCCCAGACAAGGTGAATTCATCCAAAACTCTCCCTACTTTTTCTCGGGAAAGGCAAGTTCCATCGCAGCTTTTGGACAGTGCAGACTTTGAATGTTCTCTCTGCATGAGGTAATAATAAATTCTCTCTTGAAAATAATTCTTAATTTTATATACATCTAAAACCTCCTCACTCATTGCAGACTGTTTTATGAGCCTGTCACCACACCCTGTGGACATACTTTCTGCCTCAAGTGTTTGGAGCGCTGCTTGGACCACAACCCTAACTGTCCCCTGTGTAAGGAAAACCTCTCTGAGGTAAATATGAGGCCTATTTGCACTTAATGTGTTTTTACTGATCAGATAGCTATCCGATTTGTTAAAACGGTTTAATTTTCACTTGGCCACATAATGTGTCTCCGTTCACGTCACCAAAAGCAACAGATATGCGCTACAATTTGTTCATCATCAGCTTTTTTCAAGATCGAAAAGACTGCACAAGGAGAGAGAGCTGCGCCAGTGTTGGGGGATAATATTTTAATGAAATATAAATATATATGAAATGTATAAAGTCTTCAGGATGTGATGCCGAATATTGAATTTTCTTTGCTGCAGTTTGCGCATCTGCTTTTAGAAGATGCTCAACTGTTCATCTCTGTTGGGCCATATCTGTGGAGATGCGTGTTGCGGTAGCGCAGTCATATCTGGCTACTAGGAGCTGGTATTTTGGACCATTTTGGAGGGAGTAAATTTTACGTATATGGCTTCAACAACCAGATACATTTACACTTGTCCAGTTCAGTCTGAAATGCGTCTCAAACAAGCTCCTGAATTGGTTTGAGCGATCGGATTTAAATCAGTCTCTAAAGTGTTTCAGAGGGCATTAACACCTGGGCCCGTATGTATAAAGCCACTCAGAGTAAAATTTTAGTCTCAAGTCTGTCAAAATTCTAAGAATTACATAATTTTACTCTTATTCCTAAACTTAAGAATAAGTGTGATTCATAAAAGTTCCTAAGTGCTAAGACTTGGTCTCAGCTCCTAAATTATTTAAGAGAGCTGGAGAGGTCTCCTAACCTAGTTAGGAGTAACAAGATGGCAGCAGAGAGGTTAGGCCATGCACTTTTCAACGAAAATATGATGTATTGTAGTTAAATGAGTTGATCAAACAATAATAAAAAAAAGTTTAATCATCAAGGTATTCTTTTTGTAACTTACCTTTAAAAAGTTTCATAGCAATGAAATTAAAGTAATAATTATATTTTTGGCGACTGGAGAAATGCAGCAGTGCACCTGTGATGATATATTTATTTTAATGGCTGGTGAGCCAAAGACAATTTTCCACCTTGGTGGACAATAAAGATATTACAATTAAAAAGCTCACAGGAGAAAAAAAAAAACATGTATTGTCTGCAACATAATCATTTATTAATATTTGATTTTCCTCTCTTGTTTTTTCACCGGTTCATAATTTATTTGTATGACAGCTTAGCTAAAAATTATGTCAATTTGGAATGTTTCATTGTGTTATCACAAATAAACAATTGACTCCAGGCACAACTACACAATACGCTTACAAAATATTGAACACATTTTAATACTATTTGAAAGGGTGAATCTGACAATTTTCCTTCAATACTAAGTTGTGATAATTTTGCACAATGCAAAGCCATTTAAAAAAAATACATTTAAATATTAAAGTTTCAGTGTCTTAATTAAATTATTTTATTATAATTACATTAAATAATTGGTGTCATGCTGCTGTGACCTCACCCTTGCAGGCTCACTATTGGCTGATTCAGAGGTTTGAGGGCGGCCATTTTGGGTTAACATCATTGTAGTCCTTAGGTTGCAGCACTTAAGTCCCACTTCAGTCAGCACTTAAGAGCAGTCTTATACTTTACTGAAAATTGCTTTTAGCTGCTTTACAAAAGTCTCCTACTCTTAGAAAAGTCCTACTCTTTACTAAGTATTTTTTTACACTTAAGTCAAAGCTTAACACTATTCTTAAGATCATTTCTTAGAAGTTTTATACATACGGGCCCTGGTCTTTTCATGATCAGAGAAAACGCATGAACTGACCAGGTGTACATAGTCCCATGAATAGGGAAAAATCCTTAGTTGCAACTGAGAATCCCTATGTTGAAAATTGGTATTTATAATCTTTGGTGGACGTCCTATCATATCCTCTAATATGACTCGAATACATAAAAAAATACGGCTGCCAGCAGTAAATCAGATTTCATCAGCTTTTTACATTTAAATCTTAAATCACCTTTAGAAAAATTTATATATTCATACGTTTCATTTAAAGCTGGAAATACACATTGACGTAACGTCATCAAGACTCATCAGTGGTGTAGCAAATTAGCTCTGTGAAATATTAATAATCATTCATAACTTGTTATTATTGATCAGGAATATTTGGATCAGTTAATCGGGTTAACTTGATGTAGCTACATTAACATTACAACCAATTACTCGGTTCATACCGTGAACACTCAAAATTGGTTATGAATTAATTAATAGAAATGTACATTTCCGGGGCATGGGAAATATCTTTCTTACTAAGTACTACTAAGAGCAAGTAGTCAAGATCTATGATTAGTGACTCCAGATAGGAGCTTGAGACATGGACAACTTTACGTGTGACATGAACAAGATTTTATTAACTAGACTAAACATTAAAACTACTCTAACATACACATACATAAATGAATACAATTTACCAAGGGGAAGAGAGCTGAAGCAGAATACAGCAAAGCAAGAAGTTATAGCATTGTTTGAAGTTCAGCAGATCAACAGCCTTGAGCAAACCATCAGTTTAGTTCTAACACGCCCTTCTTAAAAAGGGGTAAGGATACTTAATGTATCAAATAATGAGACTAAGTTTGATACTTGCATGTCTCGCCCATTTGAATTAAACTGTCCTGAAGCAATTTGTTAAGGCTCCAGTTGATCTTTGCTGATGTGGTCTTGATGAGAGAGAACCAGTGGGAGTCAGAGGATCTTTGGTGAATGGAAAGACAAGGCCGCAGCCTGGCGCAAGCTTGGGGGGCCTTGAGGGACTTCTAGTTCAGCATCATCTTCACATTAGGACTTCTCAGGAAGGACCAAGAGCAAGAGGCTAAGAGAGCAAAGAGAGCTAAGAGGATGAGAGCAAATCTTGTGATCAGTGATTTTTAAAGCGTGAAGATGTCACACCCTCTGGAGTGCGTGAGCCAATACGAAGCGGTCCCTTTGGAAGGAGTTTTTACGACCCTTTGTGTTCTAGCAGGGCATTTGAATGATTAATTTCATTGGGTGTTTACGAAAAGAATCTTCAAGATTCGTATAATACTAATGCGTCATAAAGTTAGCAAAATGTAATGTAAATTAACAAATGGGGGATGAAGATATGTGAAAATATGTGAAGATGCATACTATGGTTAACCAAAATCATATGTGTAAGTCATGTTTCAGACCAAAATAGATTAGAAGAGAGAATGAAGACATAGGCCAAACCACATAAAAGGAAAATCATGAGATGGAGAATTAGATGCATGTTAATACATTTATCACATGGTTTTATATATATATATATATATACACTCACCGGCCACTTTATTAGGTACACCTGTCCAACTGCTCGTTAACACTTAATTTCTAAGCAGCCAATCACATGGCGGCAACTCAGTGCATTTAGGCATGTAGACATGGTCAAGACAATCTCCTGCAGTTCAAACCGAGCATCAGTATGGGGAAGAAAGTTGATTTGAGTGACTTTGAACGTGGCATGATTGTTGGTGCCAGAAGGGCTGGTCTGAGTATTTCAGAAACTGCTAATCTACTGGGATTTTCACGCACAACCATCTCTAGGGTTTACAGAGAATGGTCCGAAAAAGAAAAAACATCCAGTGAGCGGCAGTTCTGTGGGCGGAAATGCCTTGTTGATGCCAGAGGTCAGAGGAGAATGGCCAGACTGGTTCGAGCTGATAGAAGGGCAACAGTGACTGAAATAACCACTCGTTACAACCGAGGTATGCAGCAAAGCATTTGTGAAGCCACAACACGCACAACCTTGAGGCGGATGGGCTACAACAGCAGAAGACTCCACCGGGTACCACTCATCTCCACTACAAATAGGAAAAAGAGGCTACAATTTGCAAGAGCTCACCAAAATTGAACAGTTGAAGACTGGAAAAATGTTGCCTGGTCTGATGAGTCTCGATTTCTGTTGAGACATTCAGATGTTAGAGTCAGAATTTGGCGTAAACAGAATGAGAACATGGAACCATCATGCCTTGTTACCACTGTGCAGGCTGGTGGTGGTGGTGTAATGGTGTGGGGGATGTTTTCTTGGCACACTTTAGGCCCCTTAGTGCCAATTGGGCATCGTTTAAATGCCACGGCCTACCTGAGCATTGTTTCTGACCATGTCCATCCCTTTATGGCCACCATGTACCCATCCTCTGATGGCTACTTCCACCATGTCACAAAGCTCTAATCATTTCAAATTGGTTTCTTGAACATGACAATGAGTTCACTGTACTAAAATGGCCTCCACAGTCACCAGATCTCAACCCAATAGAGCATCTTTGGGATGTGGTGGAACGGGAGATTCGCATCATGGATGTGCAGCCGACAAATCTGCGGCAACTGTGTGATGCCATCATGTCAATATGGACCAAACTCCCTGAGGAATGCTTCCAGCACCTTGTTGAATCTATGCCACGAAGAATTGAGGCAGTTCTGAAGGCAAAAGGGGGTCCAACCCGTTACTAGCATGGGGTACCTAATAAAGTGGCCGGTGAGTGTATATATATATATATATATAATATATAATATATAGGATTAAAAGGGTTAATTTCTCCTCCTCAGCAAGAATTAGGACAACCCTCTGCACATTCCTTTTTTGGGGTCGTAAACTCTTATCAGTCTTAAGGTGTCCTGTAACAGGACAATGGGTTCTGCCAGTGGGTTCGGCTTGATTTGTGGGGAAAGTTCCATAGAACTTTGTTGGGAGAGTGAGTTTTTTTGGGGGGAAGTTTCACAGACCTTTCTTGGGAGAGTGAGTTTGCTGGATTATTCATTACATATAATGAATAATTAGTGTGTGTCTGATTGGTCCAGACGCTACAACGGCAAAAAAACAACAACAAAAACAAAACGACTGTGAACATGCTGATATCATGAGCAATGATTTGGGGGAAAAAACCCCGATTTTTCTCATTAAAAATTCGATTTAAAAAAAAAAAAAATTGTAAAGAACACCAGGTTTGTTGTGCCTACTTGTAGGGCTGCACAATTTTTCCCCAAAAGTTTGTGCTTATATCAAT